CAGGTCAGCCCTGCGGCCCCACAGCCTGGACCAGCCTCTGAGGACGGAGCCACCAACAAAGCCCAGGTGTAACAGGATGGGACCCCACAGCCACGGCAGGACCTGAGCAGACAGGAGCGAGTCATGGGTTTAAGCCCAGACAAGCTCCATCAGCAATGATGTCACTTTTTTCACTATACTGGAATGTTTTTGTATCCAATAAAAATACTTTTGCATACAACCTGTTTGTGCTTTCTGGGTGCTGATTGATGGGGAGGCTGTGCCCTGCTCTCAATGCCAGAGCTGGATGCACAGAGAGAGGAGAACCTCTCTTGCTCTTCAGGGCAGCACAAAATGGGGCTGACAGCAGACCCAGGGGGAGGGAAGGGATCTGGGAGTACTGTGCTGCTCAGGGGAAGTGCAGGCAGAGAGGTCCAGGCAGGGAGAGCAGCTCCACTCACCTGTATAAGAGCACAAAGAGCTCTTCCAGCTCACACCTGTTTCATGCTGCTGTCAGCATCCCCTGTAGCTTCACGCTTCCAGCTCACACCTGTTTCATGCTGCGGTCAGCATCCACTCTAGCTTCACAGTCCCAGCTGATGCCATCAAATGGGAAGAGAACCACGCTGGCCAGGCTGGCTGAGTGTGGCTGTTTTACCCATGCTTTATCTCCACAGCTTGGTGGGCCACTGGAGCCCTCTCTGAATTCCCAGCAGCAGGGAGGGAGAAGCCCAACCCCAGGTGCGATGTGTAACCACCACAAACAGCCGTGCTCAGGCCTGGGCAGGCAGCAGGTGTGTGTGCAGGCAGCAGGTATGCAGGCAGGCACGCCTATTTGTGCTAGAGCTGCTCTGAGATCAGACAGCCCATTCCCGAGATACGCCAGGAACAGGAGCAGGTCCTCAGCCCCAACACTGAGCCCTAAGCACCTGCTCTGGCAGCAGTGAGACACTTCTTAGGGCATCACAGGCACCTTGACAGAGATGAGACCCCAAGTCCTGGAAGGAGGCAGGAACCCAGGGAGAGGAGCCAGCAGATGGCAACAGCACTGTGCTTAGTGTCTGCAGGATTGCTTCAAGTGCCACCAGGGAAGCCCTTCTGCAACAGCCCTGGGGAAACCAGCAGCACCAGTCCACACCACACCGTGAGCACTGAGAGCTAGGCTGTCCCACACGGGTGCTGAGCTCCTCCAGCAGCTGAGCTCTTGCAGAGCCATAGGGTGGGCTGATCTCACCATCCTCAGCCTCTCCCAAGCACAAACTGCTGCACAGCAGTGCACAGGGCAGGGGTGGAACTGCAAAGGGGCTGCTCCATCTTCCACATGGACTTCAGGTCTCAGCTGTGGGTGTCAGGGTCTCATAGTCCATGCAGCAGTGACAGGAGAGCAGCACTGTGCTCCTTAATTCTGGAGCAGCATTCCCAAGCCTGCCCCATTGTGGAGTTGAGCTCCTCAGCACACTGGTCCCCACACCTCTTCCCAGCTTGCATTGCAGAGCTGCCCCAGAAAAATCAGGCAAGGAGTAATTCCCACTACTGCCTCAATCTTCCTGGAGCACACTGAAGCTCACAACAGCAGCAGCATCGCTGAGGAGCAGCAGCACAGCCCCAGCTCAGGAGCCCCATTTCTCCCTCCTCCCCCACAGAAAGAGCCCCACTTCCCTAGCAAGGTGTGACAACACCAGGAGAAGCCCAGCATCCCTCAGCCTCCAGCAGAACTGCTGTGCTCAGGTCCAGTCCCTGCTGCATTAAGAAACATGAACATTGTTGCTATGATAGGTTTATAAAAATTTTGTTTTAATCACACAAAACTGAAGTTTGTGATGAAGACTAAGTCGACAGTTCCTCTTAAATACCAGGATGTATAAGACACTGCATTAGGCACTAGGCAGCAGCCAACATCAGTTAGAGTCTGGCAACAGAAGCCATTTAATACCTCCCTTCATTCTTTGTGGAATTACAGGCTTTTGCAGTACACGTCGTTCCCACTGACAGGTTACCCGAGGTTTCCCCCACCCCACCTCTGTACATCAGTAAACCTTGTGTATTCCCACCAGAGCAGGGTTAACAACATTAGTGGCATCACAACCATCAAAAAAAAGGACAATTTTCTATACAAGATTCTTTGCAAAAGTTGCAACAGGATTAGTGCATTATGACCGAACCGATAGAAAAGAAGAGTTGGCATGCTGGAGTCCAACACAAAGAAAGACAACAGGCAGCTCGTTGGATGTACTATATTGACAAGATACTGATTGGTTACATGGAGAAACATACAATACAAAATACAGAAGAAACCAGTTTTGCTTCCCTCTGCCCCACCCCAAATACTCATCACTGATTTGGTCAATAAGTGGCCGAAGAGCCAGAGTTTGTCTCTAATGCTACAGTTTAGTGGTTGTTCTGGGCGCATCGTACGGGATCAGCCTCAGCTCTTACAGACAGGGAACTTTAAACACGTGTCCCAATATCCCTTTGTTTCCCATAGTGAACTACAGTGCTGTGGGACCTGGGTGCTGCTGGCCTCGCCCGCGGGACGGCCGCACTGGCTGGGCAGACACCGGGTCCTGCATCCACCACCACCAGGACGAGGGAAGAGCAGAAGTTCATATATTAAAAAAGTGACTTAAGACTTAGAATTGAATTAGTATTTGTACAGAAAGGTGCAGGTGGAAGAACTCCCTCCAGCCTATGATCAGAAAGGGATGGAGAATCACGGCGGCGCCGCGGCCGCCCTACGGTAAGTGCGATCGTTAGCGTGGGTTCCAGTCACGTCCTCGCGGGCCGGGGCCGCTGCTCAGTTGCTGCAGCACTGGCTCCTGCTCGGCTGGCTGCTCTCCTGAAGATCCACCACCCGATTCCTGCCTGGGCCACCAGGAGCATTCTGGGGTTCATTTTTTGGCAGTTTCTTGGCTGGAAATAAACATGACATCAGTAGGGTCCTCCGCAGTGACCAACCTCCTCCCGCTGCACACCCTGGGCTGGGCTCGGCCTGCTCCAGAGGAGCTTGGAATGGGGCACTGCCAGCAGCACTGCATAGCAAACCAACCCCCTCCTGGCACTGGCTGGCATCAGCCCTGCTCCCTCACCGCCCCAGACACAGGGAGAGGGAAATGGCTTTGCAAGGCAAAGGCTCCACATGCTCAGGGAGTGATCGACCACACCGGTGTGGCAAACTGGACACTGCCCCAGTAAGAGCCAGCAGCCCCTGGCGGACACCGGAGCCACCAGGCTGCCCCAGCCCCACACTCAAACCCTTACCTATTGCCATGAAGATTTCATTCACATTCATCGCTGTCTTCGCCGACGTCTCCATGAACAGCAAGCTGTTGTCATCTGCATATGTTTGTGCATCCTACAAACAACCACATTGGAGTGCTGAAGGCACTCTGCCAGGAGGCCCAAGCAGGCTTCACATGCTTCACTTGTCAGCAAACTAACTGCCAGAGAAATACTGTCCCACCCCGGGCCAGAGATTTCCCCCTCAACCCCTGCCTGGCCAGGACAGCCCAGGGACACGCTGTGCTGGCAGCTCTGCAGAGCTGGTGCTCCTCAGCCAAGCTGGGCCACAGTCTGAGCCGCATACAGTCACAGCATGGCCCCAGGACACAGTGCCCGGGACTTGGGTCAACTGGGAGAGAGTCACCCACTGCAAGGGCACCACAGGCAGTCCCACGAGAGGGCTGGGAAACAGCCTCTCCTGAATGTTTGCCTTAGACAAGGTAAGGGCTGTGCAGAGCAAAGAACAAGCTGGGAATGATTCCTGATGTGTCTTGTACCCAGAAGATGTGGTTTCACACCCTGTACCAGACCTGGATGAGTAAGGCAGCACAGGAGACTGAGGACAGGAGTTTGTGCTCTGTGGGCCTCCCCCTCCTCCACATTTGCCAGAACTGTCAGCAGCAAGAGCCACATGTGCTGTGACAGCAGCATGGGAAAGGCAGGCCCCATCCTGGGGTTCTCACCCCAGAGCCTCCCAGCAACACTGAGATC